CGTCATTCACTAGAAGCTGCGATCCCATCCGCGCCGTCTATTCCTCTAACGAAGACCCACTTCGGTGGTGGTGCGGGATGTCCAGGCGCTTTCTGAAACTCTATCGGCTTGCTTTTCGTTATCTCTGCATGCCTGTGACTTCAGTTCCTGCCGAGTGCGTTTTTTTCAAGTGCAGGAATTTTATTGTTAATCGCCTCAGGCCCCATCTTTCACCAGACCACGTTGATAATTTCACTGAACAAATAACGCATGGTCTGAGTAAGTAAAATGGGCATTGTTGCATTTTGTTTTTAGACGATATAGCCTACACGAAGTACGTTTTTAAAAGCCGTTTTTATGCTATTTCTTGATAAACCTTCCTATTGTTTTGACTGTTTTAATATGTGGGCTAACATTATATGAAGATGAAGAATTCTGTCAGGCTATTGATTGATTTTCCATTGTTCTGCATTTCCCCAGCTGATTTGAATAAATAAGCTATGCTTTGGCCGACGTTGAGTGTATACTCTTCTTTTTTTTTTCTTTTTAACAACCGCCTAAAATGAAATGATGATAACGCGAGGCAAGTGTGCGGCAAGCGGAATTCATTGAGGGATTTGACAGTGTGATTCATAGATTAAGTATTTCAAATATAGGCTATTATATATGCTACACGCACGCACAGAGGTTTTTTTTTTCTTACCATCTTTTGGGGGTTTCTTGCTTTTAGACTAGTCGACTAGTCGGATACAAAACTTTCGTTTTATTAGTCGTCGCGCACATCCCTAATTCAGACTAGGGGTTGTATACATGTTTAATATCCCCAAGACATAGATGCTAAGGAGAAATGTTGTTGTCCTGCATCTGAATTTCTTTCATTCACTCACACAAGCGCACACTTGTCTGTTTTTCCCACAGTTGCAGTGTGTTGCTGTTTAAAACATCTATTAATATTTTATTACCCCTTATAAACTCACAACCTAAGGCTGAAGTCTTCTTGAAGTGCCTTTGTGGAAACATAGGCTTGGGATTTTTGTAATGAACAATGAAGCCTTTGCTTCTTCCCTCCATATGTCATTAGCTTCAGAATTCTATACACAGTAGCCGCATTTTAAAATTTCATCACATGGAGCCTTCGAAGCCGACAAAACTCACACATGGCCGCGAGATCTTTAAATTGCGTCAAAGGCGTGATTTGACCGCCAGAAGGGTAACAATGGAGTGAGGCGTCAAGATGAACAGAGCCTCATCACAGAATATATACTTTCAATAATGAGGGAGGGTGCCAAATGCGCAATCTGTGGGGTTGCTAGGCAACTGCATCAGCATCACTCCAGCAGCCTCGTGTCGAGAAACGCATTGGAACCACGCTTTTGAATGGCATTGCCTGACTCGTGTATGTGATTTGCAGCACATTGATTGAAGCATGCCCTCTTATTGGCGATGGTAAAGTCACACACAGGCTGAATCGCTCAGTTAAAGAAGTAATGATTCACAGGCATCACCAGTTCAGCACAGTTGGCAGCTTTAGTGTGTGACTATTGTTGTGGATTCGAAGTCTTCAGTCACAATGTATGACCACAAGTTGACAGATGAGCATGTTTCACGATTCCATTGCCCTTCGTCTGTAGCATGTAACACTGTCAGTTATGAGCAGCCCAGCGTTTAGAAGGTCTTGCTGTGTGATCATTCGTTAGCAATCAGAAGAACATGATCAAACTGTGAACTTTTCTCTAGAGTCGCTGCTGACGGCAGCAGAGCACACTTATAAAAGAGAATCTGTGCTCATTAATTCGGATTTACAGCCCTAGCATATTATACATTTATGTACTTATAAATATGGCAACACAAAACTACCACTATTCCTACCAGGATTTAGCCCCAAATTTTTCATCATCTCTCATTTGAAGTTTTTTTCCCCCCTGTGTGTTATGATCATCTGATATAGGGTTTAATTAGGGGCCCTATGATTTCCGCGATGCAGAATCCAGTTAGAAAAATGGAATTTAATGCGGAATGTCATGGAATTTGCCAAATTTGGGGTGAATAAATCAAAAGTAGGCCAGTACACTTAAATCAAAACATGATATGGACTAGTGTCTGTGACTATTGAGCTGCAAAAATTACTATTTAAAATGAAACCTGCATGTTCTGCATGTCTCTGTGTGAATGAATGGCGCAGACGCGCGTTATCGTTTACTAGCCTCTGCTGCTTCAATATATGAGTACACGAACACATGAATATAATCTGTAGAACTGATCTGAAAGTCACTTCATGAGCATTTTACCATTTCTTTTGAGAAAATCTATCGTCATAAAGGTCCAGAGCAACCCATCAAAATCAAAATTCGGTTTAACTTGAAAGTGTAAGAGAAATATCTTACTTAAAGGGTTAGTTCACCCAAAAATGAAAATTAGCCCATAAATCGGTAAACAAAGACACTAGCACAAAGGAAAAAGAAGATAGATGTTCCTCTTGTGCCCCATATCCGAGTACAAACACATCATAAACCACACTACTACACTACAATACACACATATGAATCAGAAAGAGACCCTCAGGGAGATATGGAAGCACATGGACTGGAAACACATGGACTGAAACACATGGACTTTAACAAGGTATGGAAACACATGGACTAAATCAATATCATATATGTTTCATAAATGGTTGGTAGAGAGATGCATGAGAGGAAGGAAACTCCAGTGGGTCTGTTGCTCCACTGGACTGTAGCTGTTTTGGTTAAAGATTTTTAAGCATTACAGTGACTTTTCTCTGTAATAACTGCAAAAGTTTCACACAACTCAGAAGAAAGCTCAGTAGATTTCTACACATAATTCATAATAGTTTAAACAGCTCTGTCCCATTGAATGTAACTTTGGGGTACAGCAGCTTGTCACTGGGCCAGTGCCCTCAGTAGGACATCTTTGTGCCATTTTTTACATCTGAAATGTTCATAGTAGTATGTTAAGGGTACATATTACTACTCTAAGGTCACCTTTATTTCTATAGTGCTTTATACAATACGGATTGTGTCAAAGCAGCTTCACAGTGAATCATTTGTCCTTTGTGTCAGTATGTCATAAATAGAATGGGGCATCTGATATTTATCTGGATTTAAACATTCTTCGAAACATTTGGGATAATGTAAGTACACAAGTCAGCAAAATATATAACACTGTTCTAGTGGTTTTTGGATATTTTAATAAAAAAAATCTTACATATTGTGCCTTTAATGTAATGATACTACTATACTACTAATAAAATTATTAAAATATTATTTTTAAGGAATATTTACCAGAGAAATTATTTACCAGAATTTATTTACTTTTTCATTTTCATATTAATAAAAATAAAACTGAATTTGAGAGAAAAAAAGTATTTCATAGGACCTTAAAAATGTCCGTTTTGTTAAACTTTTATTAAATTGCTGTTAAATTGTGTACATTTCATGATTTCAATTAATTAGACGTGCTTCTTGATCAATATATTTTTTAATTTAACCATTATAGCAGAGTCTATATTTTTTATGGAAAAAAACAGAATTCAGAAAAATTAAAACGGAAAAGACAGAATTCTGAAAAAAGAAAATAAAAAACTGTCTGAATTTGGGGAAAAAATAAAATGGATTTCGTAAGGCATTTGTTGCTTGATAATAACACAAAACTCATTTTGGAACTATTTTTTTTGGCAGAGAAAAGATCGCATGAAATATAAACTAAATATATTTTTTAAAAAGTGTATAGTTATAATATATTATTTTTATTATATATAAATGCAAGGCTGCACATATTTGATCAAAATCTCAGTAAAAACTGTAATATTGCAAAATATTATTACAATAAAAAATAACCGTTTTTTATCCTAATAGGCTATATTATAAAAATAAGTTTATTCCTGTGATGGCAAAGCTAAATTTTCAGCAGAAATTACTCCAGTCCTCAGTGATCCTTCAGAAATCATTGTAATGTGCTGATTTGGTGCTCAAAAAACATTTAACATTATTTGCCATTGATGAAAACAGTTATGCAACTTACTATTTTTGTGGAAAGCATTTTTTCTGGATTTTTGATTCATAATATCATGTAATGGCTTGAACATCATTTATTTGAAATATAATTTTTTTTTAAGAAATGTCACTTTTGTTCAAATTAATGCATCCTTTCTAAATAAAAATATTAATTTATTTAAAAAAAAAATCTTCTAACCCCAAAACTTTTAAACAACAGTGTATAGATTTATTATATATGTATACTTATTTACTGTATTTTGTGTGTATACGTTAGACAGTCTTATGCAGACCACTTAAAACATTATTTCTGATTCATGGATTTATTATACACAGCATTTAAATGATATTTTATGCTTTTAAATTAGTAGCCTGTTTATCCATGATCTGTTGATTTCAGTAGGTTTGTTTCGTCAGTCTTAGACAGAGTGGCCAAAAATGATTCAAATGTGTTGCAGCGCTTGATTCATTCATTAATTTATGCATCATCTATAATTTAGAATTTGATGTTTTAAATATCTGCTGGTCTAATGACATCTTTATTAATACTGAAACTAATCCTACTTTTTTGTAGACTACTACATCCTGCCATTTGAAGAGCTCATTGATGATGCTGTCCTTTTAAAGTCTGCCCTTCTTTTTGCTCTTGCAGCTTCCTGACCTTCTTCAGGCTCAGTAGTGCTGGAGCCTCCGGCGTATTTCATCCTCTTCCTCATCCATTGTGACTCCTCTCTCCTTATGCATCATCTATAATTTAGAATTTGATGTTTTAAATATCTGCTGGTCTAATGACATCTTTATTAATACTGAAACTAATCCTACTTTTTTGTAGACTACTACATCCTGCCATTTGAAGAGCTCATTGATGATGCTGTCCTTTTAAAGTCTGCCCTTCTTTTTGCTCTTGCAGCTTCCTGACCTTCTTCATATATTAGACCTCCTGATATTCTTCATACGTATTTCATCCTCTTCCTCATCCATTGTGACTCCTCTCTCTTCTCTCCCTCTGCAAGACAGTCCATTTACACTTACAGGTAATCAGTTATAATATTCCTGCAGGTCAAGCACTGTCTACTTCTGACATTCAAATGTCATTTTTCCAGTAAGACTACACTTGTGTCTGAGCAACCAGCCTATTTGAAGGCCTCGCGTGGCACAATTCTGAAAAGTAATGTCCAAATAACAGGAAATTACATGAGAAATAAGGCCACAGTTTCTAGATATAAAATCACAGTGGCATGTGTCCACATGTCAGGGCGTTCAGATCCAAGTTCTTTCATAGAAGCTTGTCCTAATTTGACTGGAAACGTGCAACTTGTCAAGTGACAGGGCTCCAGACTCATCCTTCCCACTGGTCGCTCTTTTGCGACTAACTTTCTCAGTTGGTCGCATTGTGTCTGAGCAACCAGCCTATTTGAAGGCCTCGCGTGGCACAATTCTGAGAAGTAATGTCCAAATAACAGGAAATTACATGAGAAATAAGGCCACAGTTTCTAGATATAAAATCACAGTGGCATGTGTCCACATGTCAGGGCGTTCAGATCCAAGTTCTCTCATAGAAGCTTGTCCTAATTTGACTGGAAACGTGCAACTTGTCAAGTGACAGGGCTCCAGACTCATTCTTCCCACTGATCGCTCTTTTGCGACTAACTTTCTCAGTTGGTCGCACGAGCACATGATTTGATCGCAATTTTTTATTTTTTGCACTACAACATGGGATTAATCAATGCATGCTGATGAACTTTTATCATAGTTTATAGTTATATGGAAACGAAAGTGGTTAACATTCAACCCGTTCTTTTTCATCAGTAGTATTATTTGTGATTTGATTTTGTGAACGGGAGTTCCTCTTTTGCTGTGTTATAAGCTGGGCTTCAGATGCTTTCACTTTCGAAATTGCGATCTTGTTGTCACTAATTACGAGAAAAGATAATTGTCTGTTTTGCTTACATACATCTACACACCTTTCACTTTTTAAGACTAAAACAAAATATGGATTCATTGTTATTCTTAATTAAAAAGCACAACAACAATAAAACAGTAGGATACAATGGCAAACTAGCTTACAAAACGTTTATTAACAAAAACGAATAAGATGAGGCATGACAAACACCACATGCTGTATTATATACCGACTAATAAATTACAGAAAGTTTAGCAAACACTGAGGAATCAAATTTAAAAAAATAATAATAAAAGAGAGCCTCCATAACGTATATTCATAGCTCCATATTAACAGGTAAACAGCAAAGATAACAAGCTTTTCAAAATGAAAACAAAAAGAAAAGTAAAACTAAACTTGCTGACGGTGACAGTGCTTGCATGTTTTTTCCCCCCCACAAGAATACCAGCATGTTCACCCTCCCTGGTTTAAGAAGCGGCCTTTTACATTACTTTAGCTTGAAAACCATCCATCGTTTCCTCAATATGTGCGTAATTTTTCCTGCGCACACTTTCGCACTCGTGCTGACGTGGCGAGTATAAACCAGGCCATTTGGTCGCAGTCTGGAGCCCTGAGTGATGTCTTTTTGCTGCCTTTTTGAGAACAAAATATAATTGGTTCCCTTGAATAATCTGCTGCCTCATTGGGGGTTCACTGGTATGTCAGGACAGCCTGGTGCCCTTGAGGATTGTGCATAGTAAAGATCTTGTCTCATTAGAATAAATAGAAGAATGAGAACTCCATTCCCAGTTCACAGGAGTGTGTGTGGCCACACAAACAGTACGTGTGTGAACATGTAGTGACAAATCAGATCTGATCTTGCTCTCACACTCCTCTTCTCCTCTGTAGACTGTTGGAATGACTACTAAACCTCATCCACCTCTGATGAAGAAACACAGTCAGACCGATCTGGTGAGCCGACTCAAAACACGCAAGATCCTGGGTGTCGGTGGAGAGGATGATGATGGAGAAGTGCATAGGTCAAAGGTCAGTCTTTGTATCTTGCATTATTGTGTCCTTATTCATTTCCTCTCCCAAGCTCCATGTGACTTGCATACCAACTTACACACGCTGACACGCATGTTAAAGGGGTCATATGATGCTGCTAAAAAGAACATTATTTGGTGTATTTGGTGTAATGAAATGTGTTTATGCGGTTTAAAGTTAAAAAAACACATTATTTTCCACATACTGTACATTATTGTTTCTCCTCTATGCCCCGCCTTTTTGAAACGCGTCGATTTTTACAAAGCTCATCGGTCTGAAAAAGCGAGGGGGCGTGTTAGAACGAGCCGTTTTAGGTAGGCGTGGTTAACTCTTAACTTTTATAAAGAATATCTCTTTGGTTTTGAGACTTTAGTGTTTGCAACTTTACAGATCTTCTTTATGCACCAAGAGCTTGTAACACTCCAAAGAGAAAGGAAAAATTCGCATCATATGACCCCTTTAATGTTTTGCATTCATGATCATATTGTCAGTGTGTGTGATAAGAGCTGTAGAAAAACACACAATGCAATCTTTTGCTCATCTGATGCGCTTCCTCGGTTGTACTTTTATGAAGGATATTTCATTTAGATATTTAGCCTTTTTAAAATTATGTTCTTTTTTAATGTAGCCTGATTTTATTTTGGGTTCATTTTACCTGTTACTTCTTGAGGAGTATGTTGCTATTAGCTGGGTTTTACAAAATTCCTGTCCAAAAATCCAAAATGATCACATGCCAAATGTGAGTAAAAATTGACCTGGTTGAATAAATAAAATGGTACTTGCCAGTAGACGATAAGATAATAATACATGGCAATGTCAGATTGTAAGAACCACCTGACTGTTGCTGATGTAAGTGCAGCCCTCTACAGACACCTTGGCAATTGAATCGCCATTGGTGTAATCGATCTATGAGTATGTCATGATCTATGGTGTCGAAGCAGCACTAAGATCAAGTAAAACTAGCAATGAGATGCAGCCTTGTTCTGACGCAAGAAGCAAGTTGTTCGTAATTTTAACAAGTGCAGTTTCTGTGCTATGGTGGGGCCTGAAACCTGACTGAAATTCTTCATAGAGATAATTTTTTTGCAAGGAGCAAATTAATGTTTTTAATCTTATTTTACACACGTACGCACACACACACACACACACACACACACACACAAATGTAAAATAAGATTAAAAACATTAATTTGCTCCTTGCAAAAAAATAATCTCTATGAAGAATTTCAGTCAGGTTTCAGGCCCCACCATAGCACAGAAACTGCACTATTCATTTTCACTTAGGGGTGTACTCACTTTTGTGGCCAGCGGTTTAGACATTAATGGCTGTGTGTTGAGTCATTTTGAGGGGACAGCAAATTTACACTGTTATACAAGCTGTACTCACTACTTTACATTGTAGCAAAGTGTCATTTCTTCAGTGTTGTCACATGAAAAGATATAATAACATATTTACAAAAATCTGAGGGGTGTACTCACTTCTGTGAGATATTGTATATATAAGGGCTCTCTGAAAAGTAGCCATGTAATATGAAAAATAAAGACTGCACAGTAATGCTGTGACATGTAAGCAATTCATGTGAACGGGGCTTTAGAGAGAGTTGTGAGTTATGTAATAAAAAAATATATAGGATCTAAGGTCCATTCCACAAACAGAGTAAACATCTTCAGGGCTCGCAAAATTTCAAAATCCCTGGTAGCCCTTCGGGCAGGTACTCTTTAGATTTTGGTAGCCCGAAAATTAATTTAACTAGCCCAAAAAAAAAAATACCTTTTTTTTTTTTTTAAATATAGAAAATCAGATAGGAGTTTAAATGTCAATCAAAAATATTTTCAATACACAAATATCAACAAATATGAAGGAAGGAATTTTATTTCACTATTTACAGGGTATCTGCAGAATTTAAAAAAATATATTTAAGGCAATTTATGACCCATTTTAAGAGCTGCACAAGTAAAATGAACACACAGTTATGAGTGGGGTTGGACAATGTCTGTGGTAACATACAGTACTGAGCTGTACATGATTTACAGTTCAGATACAGGTTTTCACAAAAACAAAAATCTTATACAACAGCATTTCAGCCTTTAGACCATTTTTATGAAAAGGGATAAATCAAGCATATAAATTATG